TCTCCCAAACTTCTGAAATGCCCTTGGGGTCTTTTCATTGTTTTGACTATTAGTATCTAGCTGCCCTGTCCCTGGCTCTTGAATTACTTGAATCAGCTCAGCTCACACCGGCTATTCACTCACAGTCTCGAGCAGTTCTGAGCATTCGCCCACAGTTTGAACAACTGCATTCACTCAGTCAACTCTTTTCTCGGGTTTATATGGCACCTGTTGAGCCATCTGCTTTCTCAGGTTTATACGGCGCCTGGCCAGCCATCGGGTTTAAGTGGCACCCTCCAAGCCTTCTGCCTTCGGACATGCATTTACTATATCATCTCCTGTAGTGGGTTAAAAATCTTAATTCTCATTTGANAACTGGGCCAATTGTTGTGCTAGGCTAATGTCAGAATCCTGCCAACTGGGCCAATTGTCAAGCTAGGGCTGGGTCTGGAGCTCACAGACCCCTCAGCCCATTCACAGACTGGGTTACAAACCCTTCACATGCCAGGCTGGGTCTCCAGACCCTACACATGCCAGGCTGGGTCACCAGACCCCTCACACACAGGTCTATGAGTTACATAACCAGCAAACAGGTCCTTGGAAGCCATAGGTTGGAGAGCATAGCCGTGTGGGCAGATGCGCAAGGCAGACGCTAGCCAAGTCGCAGTGCCACACAGGTGCACTAACTCCACCCACACACACACACACAATTTGCTTACAAAGAATGCACTGCACCACCCCCAACTGGACCTAAGGCGAGGGGCCCTGATTAAAGTATTCTATTTTCCCAACAATCCACCCCTTCAGGGTCCCTCACCATACAATCTATGCATTCAGAATCTTCCATGATATTCCCTTAGCAAGGATAGATGACCCTTACATTCATATATTACACATTCCATCCCAGTCCCAAAAGTCTTTAGATTGTTGCAGCACCAACTCAAAAGTCCAAAGTCTCATCTGAGACTAAAGACAAAACTCCTTTCAGCCATGAACCTGTAAAGAGTCAAAAACAAGTTTATCTACTTCCAAGATACAAGGGGACAGACATTGGGTACACACTCCCATTCCAGAACAGAGGAATAGAAAGGAAAAACAGGTCCATGAAAAAATCCAAAACCTGGGCCGGCCCGGTGGCGCACTGCTACAGTGTGCCGTTTGGGAGCGTGGCGGCTCTCCCGCTGAGGGTTCGGATCCCACATACAGACCGGTTCCCACTCACTGGCTGAGCAAGGTGCGGGCGCGGCGCCGAGGGTTGCAATCCCGTTGCCGGTCCTGGTCCGGTGCGGGCACAACACTGAGGGTTGCGATCCATTGCTGGACACGAAAAAAGACGAAAAGGAAAAAAAAAAAGAAAAAATCCAAAACCCAAACCAGGGCAAACATTAAGCACACTGGGGCACCTGGGCCCCTAAAGTGTTGGGTAACCTCGCTCCTACGGTTCTGCTAAGTGCAGGCCAT